TTTCACGCTAGTTTTCATTCCACTGTGGAAATTTATATATCCAGTATTTACTTGCACAGCAAAATTAGTGTCTCTTGATATATATATAAAGGATTTATTTATTTATTTACTTCACTTGTATACCGCTTTTCTCCCCCCCCCCGGGGGGGGAGGGGCTCAAAGCAGTTTCCAGCATATTTATGGCAAAATTTAATATGAAACCCAGCATAAAACAACAATAATATATAGCTCTTGTAAAGATAATAAAAACATAACATTTAAACATTAAAACGTGGAGTTAAAAGCATATTAATATGAATGTTAAAATCACTAATCCATTAATAATGGCCATTTCAGATATCAAATATCTATTGCACACAATCCTTGTTCATTCCTTGTATTGCTTATTGTTCAAAGGTTTGGTCCCAAGGCAAAGTTTTTACTTTTTTCTAAAGGCCAGGAGGGAGGTCTAATTTCATTGGGGAGGGAGTTCCATGGTCGAGCCACTACTGAGAAGACCCTATCTCTCGTTCCCACCAGTCACATCTGCGAGGGGGGGTGGGACCAAGAGCAGGACCTCCCCAGATAATTTAATCTCCAGGATGGTTCATAAAGGGAGATATGTTCAGACTAGTAAACTAGTAAGCTGGGCCAGAACCGTTTAGGGCTTTTTAGGCTAAAGCCAGCACTTTGAATTCTGCTCGTAGCAGATTGGCAAGTAGTGGAGGTGGTGTAACAGGGGTGTTGTGTGCTCCCTGTATCCTGCTCCAGTGAGCAGTCTGGCTGCCATCCATTGGACCACTTGGAGCTTCCAAACAAGTCTTCAAAGGCCACCCCACATAGAGTGTATTGCAGTACTCTATTGTGGACTACCATGGCCAAGACTTCCCAAGATACGAGCGCAACTGGTGCACAAGCTTTAATTGGGCAAAAGTTCCCCTGGCCACCGCTGAAACCTGGGGTTCCAGGTTCAGTGATGAATCCAGGAGAATCTGGAAGCTGTGAACCTGTGTCTTCAGGAGGAGTGCAACCCCGGCCAATACTGGCTGTAATTCGATGCTCTGTTTGGACTTTCAACTGACCTGGAGTACCTCTGTCTTGTCTGGATTCAATTTCAATTTGTTTGACCTCATCCAGACCATCACAGCTGCCAAGCACCAGTTCAGGACCTGAACAGCCTCCTTAGCAGTAGGTGGACCCCACAAGACAAAGGCTGCAGGGCCAAGCAGGTGTCTCCCAGCAACACCTTCTTGGAAAAGTACCTCCAAGCCCCATACCCCTGATACATCCCAGAAGGATACTGTGGTCTATGGTTGCAAAGGCCACTGAGAGGTCTAGGAGAACCAACAGGGACACACTGTGCCGAATCCAAATAGTCAGATTCCTCCAAGAATACCTGGAGTTGCAAGGCCATCACACGTTCCATGACTTTGTCCAAAAAGGAGAGATTGGACACAGGCCAAAAGTTGTTTGATAGAGTGGGGTCCAGTGATGGTTTTTTTCAACAGCGGTTTTATTACAGATTCTTTTAAGCTATCTGGAATCTTGCCTTCCTGTAATGAGGCATTAACCACCACCTTCACACACTCTGCTAACCCCCCTCTGGCTTCCTTTATCAGCCAGGATGAGCAGGGGTCTAGAATGTATGTGGTTGCCCTTGCTTCTCCAAGGATAGCCATGTTTATGAAATTAAAAGTATTGCTAAAAAGGTTTTGTTTTACAAATTTAGCATTAACACAAAGATACATAATATGGAGATAGTTTAGTCCGTTGGGGGCAATGTATTATGCAATGACATGAGGAACCCCAGTCCTGTTGTGGAACCCCAGTTCTGAAATGCCCCCCACTTAAAGACCAGATTAGAGCCAGGTTTAGCTTCATTTTATTAAACATGTATATGGTTTTAATGTGTATCGATGTATGATATTAGGACTATACATTATCTTTTAGAAATAATTATAAATTATTTACATTGATTCTTTTATATGCCAATTTCAGGTCTTTAGATATGTGTTTCAATAATATACCTAATTAAACAAAGGAAGCAAGTACAGTTCCATAACCATGGATGATCTTAAATGACTGTGTAGAGAAAGAAGAGAGCTCTGATTTTTAGTGCAGTGACAAAGTATTCAAAAATCAATTAGTTCTGTTGTTAAATAGTCTTTCATAGTAATCATGTGGCATAACCTTTGGAAAATCAATGGCCTCTCTTTCAAATTATGGTGGAATATTTGCCTAATAACCCTGCAGAAAACAAATACTTCCAACAATACTGATATTTTGTTGTGAGCAGGTGCTGGATTTCTTTGGAATCTTGCTCTTGTAGATTATACTGAGCCATCTGGCAAATGCCTAGGTTTCCAGATAAATGAGTTGGAGGCTCTTTGCTTCTCTCATGGCACCAGACTAGCAGCTGAACTACACATGGCCTTATCCTCCTAGGAAAGGTTTTTGTTTTTATTACTATTCTCATAAACTCTGTGTACATAGAGCTTCTTTTTCTTTTACATAACATACATTAGATTTTTCAGCTGAAAATATCTAGTACAATTTCCATTTGAAAATTAAAAATGTTGTCATATGATATTACATTCTGAAATACCTTACCACACTGAAAAATTTCAAGTGGTGTCCTGAGAAGAAAAGAATGGAATGATGGGAAAAAAACAATCTCAAGCACATTTTTGCAAACTATATCATTACAGATGTGTACATAAAGTTGCCATTCGTATTCAGGATCTCGTTTCAATGATGAATGGGTCCCATAGCATGATCTTAATGGTCATGATCAAAAAACACAACAAACTAGATAGGGAAAGTGGAGTCAAAAGGTGAAACACATGTGAAATTTGTAGAATCTGACCAGTGAATTGATAAAACAGATGGACATGGTTCAAAACCAAGCCAGATTTCAAAACCAGTCAAATCCAAACAGCAACCTGGAAAGAGTAGTCAAGAGCCATACCAAACAGAGTGCAAAGGGAGTCCCAGATCAGGTTGGAATAAGAGGCAAAGAATTCAGGATACACATAGGCCTGCATCCTTTTAGTGACATAAAGGGTATCATAGGCGCACCTCAATTTTGATGGGGCAGTTTTGAAGGCTTCATGAATGAGGCAAGTTGGGAAGCCATGCTCCTCCATCGGTCCAAGGCTGGAAAGTTCCTCTCAGTGGTTTCATGTAAATGTTAAAAAAAAAACAATTGGGAATAGAATGGCACCTTGTGGGATGCCATATAACAGCTCCGTTTTTGAGGAGCAGGTATCCTCAGGCACCACCATTTGGAACCTGTCTGAGAGGTATGACCAGAACCACTGCAACACAGTGCCTCCAATACCCAACCTCCCCCGGTGTTCCAGAAAAATGCTATGGTTGATGGTATAGAATTCCCTGAGAGATCTAGAGGCACCAATAGGGACACACACCCCTTGTCAGTGTTAAGACAAAAATCATCCACTAAGGCAACCATAGCAGTCTCAATTCCATATTCTGCTTGAAGCCAATTTGAAATGGATCAAGGATGTGTGTGTCACCCAGAGATGCCTGAAGTTGGAGGGCAATTGCCATCTCAGTCACCTTGCCTGTTGGGAATCAGCCTGTGTTTGTGTTCCAGCATCATGATGCTTATGCTGAGAGTAATGATGGTGCCGAGGCTGAGGCTGAGACTGAGGTGCAAGATGGAGATGGTTTGGTCAATGATTTTCATACAGACAATGACAGAGAGGCCCCAATGCAAAGGGCAGTTTCTCATGAGAATATTCCTGCTGAGCCTTGGTGTGATAGTTTACTCCCTCTTTCTGTGAGCTCTCAAGATTTGGGTTTGGAAAACAATCTGAGTCCTGGAAATTTTAATGAGCAGCCAGATAGGGAATTGAAGGATAGGCGGCTGGAGATCAGCCAGAATCGACAGCAAACTCAGTGTTTATGTTGCTCCAAAAGGCTTCGTCAGATAAGGGGCAAGTGTGGGGGAAAGCAAAACCAATTTCTGGGTTTTGGGATATAAGGTTTGCTTCTAGGGAAAACCTGTTAGATCAGGCATCGTTTGAAAATCAAGTCCATGTGCCATGGAAATCCTATTCAAGGAGTCTTGTTCATGTGGAGAATTTTAGCTTTTTGGATTATCTTTGCTTCCTTTTGATTCCTGCCTGGATAAACACTGCCTTGGAACTGCTTTTATATCTTGTGCGGACATTGTTTTGTATTACTGCGTTTTACTGACTCATTACTTTTTGGAACCTTCTTATTTCCTTACAAGCATTTATTTTTACTGGCTATTTACTAAGCCAGTAAAGAGGATTTGTTTCTTCACTCATTGTGTGGTGTGTTTTAAAGTCAGGGTTTTTTTTCCTTACCTGGAGTGCAACATTGCCCAAAAAAGGAAGGACTGATCTGTAATTATTACATTCCATGGGCATCCAAGGGGGGGGGGGGGGGTTCCAGCTTCTTTTGCTTCTTTTAAGCAAGTTGAAAACTAAAGTCCCCTTTCCTGAGAGATGCTTTAATTATATGTTTTATTTGAGATCAAATTGCATCTCCTCCTTGCCAAAAGGGGCAGGTATCAAGAAAACCTTACTTGTCCTAGCAGCTTGTCCACTTCAGCATGATCCAGTGTACTCCCACCCACAGAATTGCTGGGTACCTCATTATCAACATCTTCTCCAAAGACACATCTAATTTGGCTGTTATGTGTGATATTTTATCTGCAAAGTGGTTTTTAAAGGCACCACAATTAGCTATTGAATGTTCTAATAATGGATTCAGAGAGGAGGGTACTTGAGTTAAACATATGTATCTTCAGTCTGTGTTCATCTTCAAAGCTCTGCTGAAAATGTATATGCTTAGACATTCCGTCATTGGGAACCTTTTTTGCTGCTCTTTCGTATTGATTGAGTGTTTTAAGTTGAGTATTCATTATTCTTTTAAAAATTATAATATTATTTCTGTATTTATGTCTAAGAAGATTCCATATACTAAGATATTATAAATAAAATATAAATACTACATGTCTTCTTTTTCAGTGCTTTAGGTGGATATAATGGCACTATATTTGCATATGGACAGACAGGCAGTGGTAAGACTTTTACCATCACTGGGGGAGCAGAACGTTACAGTGATCGCGGTATTATTCCACGGACATTATCTTATATTTTTCATCAGTCACAAAAGGTACAAGCCATTCTAAATGCTCCCACCCATTTTAAAAAGAAAAATACTTAACTTGCTCTTCAGTGATATAAATCAGAAAAGAAGTCTTAATTTTATTGTGCGGTCTGACATAAATATACCAAAGAATGAAGTATGATAACATCAAATGGGTATATGAAATGTTATGCTGTGACATTGAATTGTTGCCTTTTATGTTGTAAACTGCCCTGAGTCCCCATGGGGAGATGGGGCGGGATCTAAATAAAGTTTGATTTTTACTGTAATATATTTAATCTACATATTGATCCATAGCTGTAGTCGGATTACAAATCACGAAAATTAGATGGATTGCTTGTATCTTTAGTCACTTTATTTTCAGCCTTCTCACATCAAATGTCAGTATCAGTCTGTGATATTCAAATTGCCAATACAATATAACATTGTGAAATACCATGAGGATCCATAATAGGTACCCACCACCAAGACTCTACTCTTGGAAGGCAATCATACTTGTCCAGGAGTGATTTCCTGTGATGATAACACATGTACTGACCAAAGGAAAAATGGTAAACATTTTAAATTAAAGAGAAAGTTTACAGGAGATAATCTACCCAGGAAAATGCTGTATCACCACTTTTGGAAACAGTACAGATAAGGAGGTTAGGCCTGATTATAAAAAACAGATGAAGGAGAGACACAATCCTTTTAAATGGCATAATAGACAGGAAATAAAGGGTAACTGTGACATCTCGATTTAAGTCCAGCAAGGTTTCTAGACGTAGGCTGTGTAAAAAGCATGGTGCAATCACTTCCCTTATCCCATTTCCATTATTGTTTCTGCTTTCATAAATGGCATATTTATAGAATGATGAAGCAGTCTTTAAATCACTAAGAAAAAAAAATACATATATAGGGTTTACCATTCATGAAATCTTTGTTTAATGGCTTTTCAAAAAGTCATTTAAAAAAGAAAGAAGCAAAGCTAACATCTGGATGTAGTCTCAACATGTGATGCTTGAACATTAATGGATCCATGAATACAATGGTTGGCACAGTGACAGGGTGCATCTTTATTTCTGGGGGCTGGTGTTGTGCACTCTTAAAATATCATAAATAAGTCATAGGAGTTTGATTTTTTTTTCTATCTTCCCTAAACATCACATAGTACATAGTTACATTGAAATTCATTATCATAAGACGTATTGATGGCCATTAGTTTGGAAGAATTTAAAAGAAAATTAATCAACCTAAATGAAGAATCTGTGACTGTTAATCATTATAGCTGTAGATAACTTCTCACTATTAGTTTCTGGGTAGCGGAAGTAGGAAACAGCTATCATTTTCCTGATTTGCTTCTTTCCTTCTCATAGATCTTTATTTGGCCAATCTGTGAAAAAAAAAATTAAAAAGGTGTTTGGTCTGATCGAGCATAGCTCTTTTGTACTTATATTTCATAATTCACAATTAGTTGTTAAATACCTTGAAGTTGTTTCTGATATACGTATCAGTGTCTTAATAAAATATCTAACTACAACTGTGTTTCAACTTGAATTGAACATGTTTTTAGATATGACATGTAGAAAGAAGCATGCTGTATAAACTAGCCCTATGTTTTAGGCAGTTATTAGATTGGTCTTACTTATTTTTCTTCCAATTCAGGATAGCAGCATGGTATACACTATCCATATTTCCTATTTAGAAATTTACAATGAATGTGGCTATGATCTGCTGGATCCACGACATGAAGCCTCCAAATTAGAAGACTTGCCGTGAGTATTGTTTTAAAAAATCCAGCACAAATCTTTCTCCTGCTTCAAACATTTATCCTTCTCTTGATTTGTTTGACTACAATGGGCAAAAGCCTGGAAGTATGTGGAAGATACTAATGAGAGAAGGGCTGCCCTTTTCCTCCCCTTTCTTTTTAAAAATAACATAATTTTTGGGTTGCCGTGAGTTTTCCGGGTTGTTTGGCCATGTTCCAGAACATAATTTTTGTATAGTGTTTTCTAAGTCATTAAGAGCATACCATATAAACTGATGTATAGGTCTAGGAATCAATCAAAAAAATCTGGGTTGACTTATTTATGGGTCAATGTATGTCCTGGGTTGTTGTAAGTTTTTTGGGCTGTATGGCCATGTTCCAGAAGCATTCTCTCCTGACATTGTGCCTGCATCTATGGCCTGCATCTATGGCAGGATTCTGGCCATGAAAGAGAACCATCCCCTTCTCTGAGCAGAGTGGCAAAAGGTGAAAGTTTAGTATATTCTGGAAGACCCTGAAATAAGCACCATCTCCACCTATCCTCTCCATTATGGTGCCACCTGTGGCCTTTTTTAATGCCTGGGTGGGAAAACTATGCCTTCATCCAATGGGCGGCTGGATCCCTGTGTCTGTGGTGGCATTTTCTGTTTTCTGCAGAATGACCCTTCACTTATCCGAAAAAAAGGTCATATCAAAATCCATTGTCTGTAGCCAAAAACCAGTCCTCGCTTGTGCTTGAGGTAAATTTAACACGAGTGTATATGGTAAGAGATCTGAACTTAATGTATTATTATCTTGGTGATGTATGATTTGTTGTTTATTAAATAACATTACTGTTTTGTGTATACTCTTTTTCTTTTCAGACCCTAAATTCTATGAAAACACATATAGTCAAATGGTAAAAAATGAGATTAACCTTTCAGTTGTTTTAGACAGATAATCGAGCTATAACTGTAGCAAGCTACAATCAAACTATCTACAACAATAACTAAAATAAGCTGTTAACAGAGCTTGAGCACCCCTTTAAACACTTGAACTCTCTTATGGCCTTTTGATTGGTGGGTAAAACCCTCCTCTCCATTGGTCAAAATATATATTAATTGGATTACATATTATCATGTAAATGTTGTTACATATAAATACAAACTGGGAAAATGTAAAAGAAATGAGATGAGAGGAAATATTTACACTGTTCAGAATGTGGTTTTTTGTAATTGCTGAACTTGTTGATGTATGCTTTCTGTTTTCTTTCTTACAACACAGGTAGCAATATCTAAACTACATAAAGATTTAGTTTGAACTTGAATTTTGATGTAGAATAGTACTGCTAATGATGGGGAGGAGGCAGAAGCAAGGTTTTTCTTCTTCTTCTTTATAAGAAATCTTATTAAGTTTTATAAAGAATACAACGAAAGAGTGAGAACAATAAACTATAGAAAAGTGAGAAAGGAAAGAAATAGAGAAGAAAAGAGAAAAAAATAAAAAGGGAGATAAAAAAACTCCCACAAAAACAAAACAAAAAATGACTTCCATTCCATCTTCTTGGCAATAATCTTTCTTTCATAAAAAAAAATTACTTCTCAAAGAGAAAAATTGTCTCTCGTGTTTGTTTTCATTTTTACAAATTTTCTAGATAGTTGTCTAGAGGGTCCTAATTTGTCCTCTTTAAAATATTACCTGTGTTTTTCTTCAACAAAAAAGTCAATTCATGCATATCTTTTATTTCTCTAATTTTTCCAGTCCACTGTTCTATTGGTGGAATTGATTCCTGTTTCCATTCTCTTGCGAAAACAATCCTGGCGGCTGTTGTAATATATGTAAAAAGTTTGTCTTCTTGTTCATTTAATTGTAAATCCATATCCGTAAACTCTAATAGATAATATTCTGGTTTTTCACAAAACTTCTTTTTAGAATCTTTTGTGTTTCTTCGTGTATCTTTGTCCAAAAATTAACTGCCACTTTACACGTCCACCACATGTGGTAAAAGGATCCCAGTTGGTCCTTACATTTCCAACATTTGTCTGAGACTGTTTTATACATTTTAGCTAACTGTTTTGGTGTGGTGTACCATCTGTGGAACATTTTTATCCAGTTTTCTTTCAAGTCTGTTGCATAAGTATATTTTAATTTTTTGTTCCACATTTGCTCCCACTCTCTCATTTGGATTGGTCTTCTTAAATTTTGAGCCCATTTTATCATACACTCTTTAACCTGTTCTTTTTTGGTCAGCCAGTTAAGTAATATATTGTAAATATTGGATATTATTTTCTTTTCCATTTTTAATATCCTATCCCATATTACCTCTTCCCAATGGAAGCCTAGCTTTTTATCTTGATTATAGTACGCTTTAATTTGCATATAATGTAACCATGTGAGACTTGTAAACTTCTGTTTTAACTCCTCAAATGTCTTAATAGTATTTGTACTCTTATTTAATAAGCCTCTATAGGTTGGCCATTTTCGCCAACCTAAAAGTCTTTATTGATGCACTTCCATCGGGGAGATCCGTAAAGGTGTTTTAGAGTAAAGATTTTTTTTTGTATTTTTGCCAGACTCTCAACAGAGATGCTCTGACAAAGTGATTACCAAAATTCTTTTCCTTCGTTTCCTTCTCATACCACAAGTAGGCATGCCAACCTACTCTTAAGTAATTTCCTTCTATATTTAAACAATCTTCTTTATTCAATAATATCCAATCTTTAATCCACATTAAAGCACAAGCATCGTGGTAAGCTTTAAAGTCCGGGAGGCCTAAGCCACCTCTAGATTTTTTATCAATCAGGTTATCATATTTTATCCTTGGCCTTCCTCCGGCCCATATAAATTTTAATATTTCTTTCTTCCATTTTACAAAAAGTGATTGACTTCTGATTATTGGGCGGTTTTGAAAAAGGAACATCAATTTTGGTAATATTTTCATCTTGATTAAAGATATCCGGCCTAATAATGATAGTTTCAAATATGTCCACTTTAATAAGTCCTTTTGGATTTTTTTTCACATCTCTTCGTAATTATTTTTCAATAATTGTCCATTTTTATTGTTCTCCAAACTCCCAGATGTTTAATTTTTTAAACTATTTCCAGACCTATTTGCTCCCTAATCATATCCTGTTTTTTCTTTTCTACATTCTTAGTTAGTATCTTCGTTTTTGACATATTAATTTTAAATCCTGCAACCGATCCAAATTCTTTAATTTTCTAGATCCATCTCGGTAGATTCTTACTTGGGTCTTCCATTATCACAAGTACATCGTCTGCGAAGGCTCTTATTTTGTACTCATATTTTCCGTCTTTTGTTCCCTGAATTGATTGGTCTTCTCTTATAGCTTTCATTAACAATTCTAAAGACATTATAAATATTAATGGTGATAAGGGACATCCTTGTCTAGTCCCCTTCAATACATCAAACTCTTCTGTCATTTGCCCATTAATTCTTAGTTTAGCTTTTTGTAAATCATATATTGCCTTTATTGCATTGTTGAATTTATCCCCCATATCTAATTCTTCTTTTAATATTTAAAAAAAAATACTAGCCTTGGATGCAGAGAAGGCCTTTGATAATTTAAATTGCAAGGTTTTTTTTCTATAAACAAAGAATGTTTTCCATTTTGCTAAGTGGATGGGATTTTATAGACTCCTTTAAATCTGAGTGGAATATGCATAAAATAGTATTAGCTAAGTTCTGCTTTATAAATTCTTGGGTTACAACAGACAAGATTTAAAACTAAAAGGACTAGAGCAGGCCTGGGCAAACTTCAGCCCTCCAGGTGTTTTGGACTTCAACTTCAACTCCCACAATTCCTAACAGCCTAAGTCTAAGAACTTCTAGTAAATTGCTAACACAAGAGAACAACAAACCCTTGGTTGTTTTGCTAGCTTTCTTATACAGAGTAGAATTTGGGTTGTTGTAGGGGTTTTTTTTTTTTTTGGGCTATATGGCCATGTTCTAGAGGCATTCTCTCCTGACGTTTCGCCTGCATCTATAGCAAGCATCCTCAGAGGTAGTGAGTAGAATTTATTTTAAAATATAGTTCTTAGTTCTCACATTAAAAAAACTAGGAAGATGATGAAGTAAAACTAAATTGTTTCTTATTTCTCCTTTCACTCATTGTGGGCAAGTGGGGGAGTGTGCTTTGTCCATGCTTCTTTCTAGTCGCAAATGTAACATTAAATTATGTCCAGTGTTAAATGTGATTTCCCAGAATAATGATCCCATAGCACTTTGTCCTCCAAAGCACTTTACATTTTAGGTCTGCTTGTATGTTTTCCACAAATGCCACTACCACCTTTTAGCCCATGCTCCAGCATTATTTTCAATTTTAATTTTACATTTGGCCTTCCCACAGTTTTAATTGGGTGTTGTCTTATTATTAATGTCGCATATCTTATTGTCCATGTTTTTTTTAATTTTAATTGCTTGTATTCTTGTTATTATTGCATGTATTGTTGTATTTGGGCTCAGCCTCATGTAAGCCGCACCGAGTCCCTTGGGGAGATGGTAGCGGGGTACAAATAAAGTGTTGTTGTTGTTATTATTATTATTATTATTATTATTATTATTATTATTATTATTCTGCCTGAATGTGCTAGACAATTCAGGTGCAGTCTATTTGGCTGACTGTATCCCCTTGATGAACCTGCCCAGGCCCTGAGATCTCCAGGAGAGACCCTTCTCTCGGTCCCAACTCTATCTCAGGCTTTGTTGATGGGAATAAGAGGGGACAGCCACCTTCTTCGTGGCTGCCCCTCAATTCTGGAACTCCCAGCCTAGGGAAGCCAGAATGGCCCTCTCTCAGTTGTCCTTCCAGTGGCAGGCTAAAACTTTGGCCTGTACTTAAACACAATATGCGCTGACAACATTACCATCTGCCAGCTGCAAAAGGCCACCTTATTGGGATCTGCACACATTATTCGCTGACACATCACACAGTTCTAGACACCTGGGAAGTGTCTGACATGTGATCCAATACAACAGCTAGCAGAGTGATCTTGTTTGCTGTGGATTCATCTTGTTGTGTTTCAAATAATAATAATGCATGCAATTGAGCACTACAATGGATTGATTTGAGTGAAGAGAAGGCAATGCTGTAAAGCAGAGTTGCGTCCAGGTGTTTAAGACTCCAACTCCCAGAAGCCCTAGCCAGCTTTTCCAATGGCCAGGAATTCTGGGAGCTGCAGTCCAAAAGAACTGGAAGGCCACAAATTTGACAGCACTGATCTAAATATTGTATTGTCGAAGGCTTTGAGGATGCTTGCCATAGATGCAGGCGAAACGTCAGGAGAGAATGCCTCTAAACCATGGCCATATAGCCAGAAAAAACCTATAACAACTCAGATCTAAAGATTGATTGCTCACCACCTACCTTTACTTCAAATTATGTCTGATTTTTAAAAAATATTGAAGATCATTGGAACCCGCTTTCCAGAAATCTTTGGAAGAGCAGGTCACCAGTAACAAAATTATCTGGTGAGTAAGTATTATCAGAGAGGGAAGTTGTACTACAATGACTAAATTAGGCCTCCAGAGAAATATGGAAGTAATTTTGGAAGTTCTGTATTTCTAAACAATAAAACATTTTCCTCCCTCTCCTCCCATCTCCTTTTGTTAGTTTTGGAGAGGGGGGGTCAGTGAGCTATTGAGGATGAACTTGGGAGCGGGGGGGGGGGGCTGTTGCTCAATATATCTGTACATATATGTATTCAGTCAATTCCATTTAAAATGTTTATGTAGTTTTTGGTCAAACTGCAAAAGTCAAGTTGCACTCAGACCCTTTTTTTTTCTTGTAGAAAGGTAACAATAATGGAAGATCCCGATCAGAACATTCATCTGAAACATCTCTCCTTGCAACAAGCAACTAATGAGGAGGAAGCACTGAACCTTCTCTTCTTAGGAGACACCAACAGAATGATTGCAGAGGTGAGAAGCTTTGGCCAACAGCAACCCATATTATTTCTTGATGATAGTATAAAAATGCTTACATTTTAAAATTGATTGCTCACCTACCTTTATTTCAAATTATATCTGATTTTTTTTTTAAAAAAATGGAGATCATTGGAACCCTGCTTTGAATGCGATTTTTCTGCTTCTTGGCAGGGGGTTGGACTGGATGGCCCATGAGGTCTCTTCCAACTCTATGATTCTATGACTCTATAAAATAGCTTCCCAGAATTTATTAGAAACTTCTGACTTATTTAGAAATAAAGATTTATCATGATGGGTTTTCTTCTTTTTGATTGGTGTATAAGTCTGTGCTTCTAAACAGGGATGAAAATCATGATGTTTGGCAGAAATGTTCATGAGCTCAAAGTAAATTGTGCTACATGTGCTCTCGCAGGAATCTTTCAATCTAGGTTTAGATCATCATGTGAATGTATTACTTTGGATTGCATCTGCTTTGTGATAAACAGACATTGATCATCACATGATAAAGTTTTTTGGGAATTGTGAAATTCCTGACATACTCATGCTTCTCTTTCTTAAAATGCTTGACTATTGGGTACTCAGTCTGTAGACAGAAGACTATAAAGAGGTTTCTTTCTTTCTGAGGGAACATGCCAAAAGTGAATGTAATTGTGTGTGTGTATGTATACACCCACAGTAGAGTTACAATGGATTCCAATTTAAGTAGATTTTTGTGCTTTATTCAAGACCGTAAGACTGCATGTTTAGTACCATTTGTGCATATAACCTAATAATTGAAATAAGGCTGAAAAAATTGGAAAGAAATCTAACCTGTTTCTCCAGACAAAGCCTTGGGGTTAGCAAGATGATGGCATTTGGCAAATAAATACACCCTAGATCATGTCTTGTTTGCTGATTCTGTCCTCTTTACAGAATTGTTTAGGATGCATGCCATGTCTTTCTCAGGTTTGAGGATCCAGCTTACCTTGATCTGCCCTTTAACCATATCTGAATATCTGGGACAATAGATTCTTTCCAATATTGGAATCTGACAATTTTAATATCTATAAATGCTGATACATTCTTGATATGTGAGCTTAGAGACCATCAATGAAAGGGTATAGATTACAATTAATTTGTAGAAAGTTTATTCTTCTCCAGGTATTCAGTGGGAGTCAAGAGAATTCATCTAAGTATCCTAATCTAATTTTGGCTGAACCTGAATGCAGGATTTATGTGAGGTGAATGGGTTGTTAATTATGGTTAAACTTAATCATGGAATTAAAAAAATTATAATACTTTCTTTACCTTCTCAGTAAAAGTGCACACATTGTATGTAGAATATCCCTGTAGTTTATGTAAAAGAATTACACATAAAAATAATGGAATTGTCATTTCATATGACACTGCTAAAGATTCTTCCAGGCATATTGGCTTGCATTTGGTTACACTAAGAGTTAGAAGCAATTTTTATATCTTTTTCCTCTTATAATTACATGTTTTTGTGGATTGTATTTTAGAGGGAAAGATTGAAATATTGGCACAATTCATGCTTAAAATGAATAACTTTATATTTAATTATACCCCAGACCAGTAATCCATTTCAGGCATGAGAGTTTCACTGCAGACATATAGCTTCCTGCATATAGCACCTTTTCCATGCATTGTAAAATGAAACTAGCCTTTCTATTCTTTGTATTCTTGCAGGTAAGGACTAGCTCAAAATTGTGTGTGTGTGTAAAATTGTGTGTATATGTGTGTGTGTGTGGGGGGGGAGGTCTCAGCTCTTGTTCTCCATGAGTTGCTCCACTCTCCTTACAAAGTCTTGCAAAGTTGAGACCCATAACTCCTTTCTCATGGATCACAATATCTTCTCTATTTGCCTCCATTAACATCCATTTTAGCACGAGTTGACCAGTGTATCATTGTATGACCATGTTCATCTCTCACATTATATGCCATGCAGAATGAATCAGTCAGTTGGGTGGCCCAAGGTCTCGTCCACCCCCATGGGTACCATGTTGCTGTGACATTGCTCCATCTCCCATTTGTTCTGCGCATCACATGGTCTGCAAAGCAGTGTTCGAGTTGGGCAATGTGGTGTAGTGGATCTTTCACTTTTGATATTTTTCAAACCTCCGCATGCAATCTGCGTTCTCGCTGCATTTGGAGAGACATCCCAATGAACTGTCTTTCAGTGGAGGCATGTGCAACCCATAGCTGCTCCAAGAGAGCCGTTGTCATTGTCTGTGTCTCTTCACCATATCATAGAGCAGGTAGCATAGTCGAGTCGAACGATTGAGCTTGTAGAGATGTCCCTCCGGTTGATTCCGCAGTGGCTTTAATAGAATTTTAAGTGGCCCATCCTGCTTTCCTGTTCGACTTCGACTTCAGTTCATTCCTTGATGTTAACAGCCTTCCAAGGTAGACATATTCTTCTACATTTTCAAGGTCGACACCATCTACTGTCACTTCCACCTGTGAAGTTGATTCAGAGCATCTTCATCTTTTGCATGTTTATCTTTAAGCCAATTGACCGACTTCTGCTACTAAGCTCACTAACCTTGGCATACACTTTTTTCTACAGGTATAACAACTACCTGTTTAAAAAGCCTTTTGCATTGTACATCCGCTATAGCACGCTTGGATGATGTTGATGTACTCTGCCTGTACTCCTTGCTCCATATGCACTCTGGTCCCATGCTGTCAATGCCTTCTTGTGGTGTCTGGTATTCACATGCGGCTTCCAATATTCTTTTAACAATTAGGATATGATCAATGGTTGAGAATGAGCAAGGGAATACAGCAATTCTTGTATCGGTTATTTTTCCTATTGGCTGATCTTTTTCCATTCTCTTTCTTCTTCTTTTGAACTCCTTTAATTTTATTGCTATCCAATAGTTCTCCAATTTGGTTTTTTGTTTCTGTTGTATTTAAATTATTTTTGGTTGTAATGCTCCAGTATTTTTTGTTGTATCTCTGTTGATCTTGCTGCATTTTCTTTGTTTCTAGTTATGTTCATTTCATTAGTTGGTTCATTTCATTAGTTGCTGGTTCTGTAGAAAGACTTCTTTCTGTAATATTTTTTCTCCATACTACTTTGTAGCCATATTGGTGATCTTTTCAACCTTATAATATCTTTCCTCACCCGTGATGTAATTCTAGCCCATGTCCATTATTATGGAGTCCCCCAAGCTTCTAGGTGAGATTTTTAGTTTTTTTTTATAAATTGCTAAGTTTTCTCTTTTAAAGTAAAATATGACTGTGTCTCTGTCACTTCTGCATTCACATATGAGTTAATTTAAAGAAAGTTGTGGTCACTTCTTCTAATTGGTTCAACTATATTCACTTCTCACACTTGGTCTTGGACAACATCACTCAGTCCAGGGTAACTTCCTTCTGTTTAGTTCTGAGACCAGCTGTTCCAGGACACACTAATTTGTGTTATTTAGAAATGTTACTTTTAAATTACTGGAATACATATCCATTCAACATATCTCCCATTATCGTAACACTGTCTCCTTTGTAATTCCCACACCTGCCCCCAGGTTTCTTCATCTTAAGAGAGCATCTCCATCCCTTGAACATCTTGATCAAGGGAGTAATATGTCTCTGGCACTAAGTTATAGGTGTGATCTTGTATTATCCATGGTGATTCTATGAAGGATCCAGCCCTATTTGAAGTCACAGTCTTGTTTTACACTCTGATTTTCTGGTAGACAGTACTTACACTTTGAAATCAAGGTACTTGCGATACATTTAAAGCCCTAAATGGTTTGGGCTCTTAATACATAAGTAAGCACCTCTCCCTATATGTGCCAGCCCAAGGTTTGAGTATTCCTACAGTCGGGCTCCTCTGTGGCTCACTAATGTGGGGAAAATAATATGTGAGGACACAGAAGAGTACTTTCTCACCTTATGCAGCCCAATTGTGGAAAGCCCTCTCTTTGGCGGCCCAATTAGATTTCAAATGAAAACATTGGTATTTATTACATCCTTTGGGCTTCCCTTGTTCACTTCAAATGCCATGTATAGGGTTTTAAAATTGGATTTTAATTTTAAGGTGCCTAACAAGTTGTACTCTATTGTTAGTTTAATCTGTCAGTACTGATTTACATGTATGTTTCCCTTATTTATTTAATATATAGGATGGGAAGTCAATATTTTAACAAATAAATAAATGCATAAATGTATCTAACTGTTCTCCCTTTGCATTTACCTGTTGTTTCTTGAAGCAGAGAAGTAAGAGTTAAAGCAACCTTTGCATTTAAGACGAAAAGAATTGGGAGGAGGAGTTGTTGGGGAGAAAGAAGTAAATAGCTTCCTCCTGTAATTTCTGTTAAAAATGCCTTTTTAAACATCCCATTGCCTGGATGAATGCAGTATTCAGATCTTTGAATGCCCTGGTGTTTTTATTTTATTTTAAATGGCCAGTTGTTCAGAGATAACATTAAATGTCAAAATGAAAATAAATCCTAATGGATTTAGTGCTGTTGGAGATTTATGCAAATTCTTCTGTATGGAAATTTGAGTGCATTTTGTTTCATAAACTAACATGATATAGACTACCATAATTTTAAGCTTATTGAATTCAGGTTGAATGGTAATGTGAACTCACATTCATTCAGTTGTTTGTGTATGGGTGTCACCATATGGAGACAGGAAAAGATTTCCTGATGCTGTGCATATAGATAAGCTGTGTATAAAGCCAAGAAAGAAAAAGGATAAGAATAAGATAACATATTCATACTAAGTTTATTTTCTGCTATAAGTATGGCCATAAGATATTTTCTTGGCATGTTATTTATATTCAAAACACTAGAAAAAACTTCTAACATCAACAATGGGTATTCTTAAAAGAGTCTGAAACATTCTTCATAAAGAATAGCTTTTTACCTGAAATGTGCAAGCTGTCTTCAGAATGGCAAAATAACATTTTCGATGGCAGCATTTCAAACTCCAGGCAAAAAGTTTTCTGATTTCTGGCACCTGGAAAGCAAGAATGTTTGGCACAC